TAGTGTAAGGTGTCAGGAAGGGATCCAGTTTCTGCTTTCTGCACATGGCTAGCCAGTTTTCCCAACACCATTTGTTAAACATGGAATCCTTTCCCCATTGCTTGTTTTTGTCAGGTTTATCAAAGATTGTATAGTTGTATGTATGTTGTGTTGCCTCCGGTGCCTCTGTTTTGTTCCATTGGTCTGTATCTCTCTTTTGGTACCAGTACCATGCTCTTTTGATTACTGTAGCCTTGTAGTATAGTTTGAAATCCGGTAGTGTGATGCTCCCCCTGTGTTCTTTTTGCTTAGAATTGACTTGGCTATGCGGGCTCTCTTTTGGTTCCATATGAAGTTCATTGTGGTTTTTTCCAGTTCTGTGAAGAAAGTCAATGGTAGCTTGATGGGGATAGCATTGATTCTGTAAATTACTTTGGGGAGTATAGCCATTTTCACGATATTAATTCTTCCTAACCATGAACATGGAATGTTTCTCCATCTGTTTGTGTCCTGATTTCATTGAGCAGTGGTTTGTAGTTTTCCTTAAAGAGGTCCCTTACGTTCCTTGTGAGTTGTATTCCAAGGTATTTTATTCTTTTTGTAGCAATTGCGAATGGCAGTTCGCTCTTGATTTGGCTTTCTTTAAGTCTGTTATTGGTGTAGACGAATGCTTGTGATTTTTGCACATTGATTTTATATCCTGAGACTTTGCTGAAGTTGCTTATCAGTTTCAGGAGTTTTTGGGCTGAGGCAATGGGGTCTTCTAGGTATACTATCATGTCGTCTGCAAATAGAGACAATTTGGCTTCCACCTTTCCTATTTGAATATCCTTTATTTCTTTTTCTTGCCTGATTGCTCTGGCTAGAACTTCCAGTACTATATTGAATAGGAGTGGTGAAAGAGGGCATCCTTGTCTAGTGCCAGATTTCAAAGGGGATGCTTCCAGTTTTTGCCCATTCAGTATGATATTGGCTGTTGGTTTGTCATAAATAGCTTTTATTACTTTGAGATATGTTCCATCGATACCAAGTTTATTGAGGGTTTTTAGCATAAAGGGCTGTTGAATTTTGTCAAATGTCTTCTCTGCGTCAATTGAGATAATAATGTGGTTTTTGTTTTTGGTTCTGTTTATGTGGTGAATTACGTTGATAGACTTGTGTATGTTGAACCAGCCTTGCATCCCCGGGATGAATCCTACTTGATCATGATGAATAAGTTTTTTGATTTGCTGTTGCAATCGGCTTGCCAATATTTTATTGAAGATTTTTGCATCTATGTTCATCATGGATATTGGCCTGAAGTTTTCTTTTCTTGTTGGGTCTCTGCCAGGTTTTGGTATCAGAATGATGTTGGTCTCATAAAATGATTTGGGAAGGATTCCCTCTTTTTGGATTGTTTGAAATAGTTTTAGAAGGAATGGTACCAGCTCCTCCTTGTGTGTCTGGTAGAATTCGGCTGTGAACCCATCTGGACCTGGGCTTTTTTTGTGTGGTAGGCTCTTAATTGCTGCCTCAACTTCAGACCTTGTTATTGGTCTATTCATAGTTTCAGCTTCCTCCTGGTTTAGGCTTGGGAGGACACAGGAGTCCAGGAATTTATCCATTTCTTCCAGGTTTACTAATTTATGCGCATAGAGTTGTTTATAATATTCTCTGATGATGGTTTGAATTTCTGTGGAATATGCGGTGATTTCCCCTTTATCATTTTTTATTGCATCTATTTGGTTGTTCTCTCTTTTATTTTTAATCAATCTGGCTAGTGGTCTATTTTGTTGATCTTTTCAAAAAACCAGCTCTTGGATTTATTGATTTTTTGAAGGGTTTTTCGTGTCTCAATCTCCTTCAGTTCAGCTCTGATCTTAGTTATTTCTTGTCTTCTGCTGGGTTTTGAGTTTTTTTGATCTTGCTCCTCTAGCTCTTTCAATTTTGACGATAGGGTGTCAATTTTGGATCTCTCCATTCTCCTCGTATGGGCACTTATTGCTATATACTTTCCTCTAGAGACTGTTTTAAATGTGTCCCAGAGGTTCTGGCACGTTGTGTCTTCGTTCTCATTGGTTTTGAAGAACTTTATTTCTGCCTTCATTTCATTGTTTACCCAGTCAACATTCAAGAGCCAGTTGTTCAGTTTCCATGAAGCTGTGCGGTTCTGGGTCTGTTTCTGAATTCTGAGTTCTAACTTGATTGCACTATGGTCTGAGAGGCTGTTTGTTACGATTTCAGTTGTTTTGCATTTGTTGAGCAGTGCTTTACTTCCAATTATGTGGTCAATTTTAGAGTAGGTGTGATGTGGTGCTGAGAAGAATGTGTATTCTGTGGATTTGGGGTGGAGAGTTCTGTAAATGTCTATCAGGTTTGCTTGCTCCAGGTCTGAGGTCAAGCCCTGGATATCCTTGTTGATTTTCTGTCTGGTTGATCTGTCTAGTATTGACAGTGGAGTGTTCAAGTCTCCCACTATTATTGTGTGGGAGTCTAAGTCCTTTTGTAAGTCCTTAAGAACTTGCCTTATGTATCTGGGTGCTCCTGCATTGGGTCCATATATGTTTAGGATCGTTAGCTCTTCTTGTTGTATCGATCCTTTTACCATTATGTAATGGCCTTCTTTGTCTCTTTTGATCTTTGTTGCTTTAAAGTCTATTTTATCGGAGATGAGAATTGCAACTCCTGCTTTTTTTTGCTCTCCATTTGCTTGGTAAATCTTCCTCCATCCCTTTATTTTGAGCCTTTGTGTATCCTTGCATGTGAGATGGGATTCCTGGATACAGCACACTGATGGGTTTTGGATTTTTATCCAATTTGCCAGTCTGTGTCTTTTGATTGGTGCATTTAGTCCATTTACATTTAGGGTTAATATTGTTATGTGTGAATTTGATACTGCCATTTTGATGCTAAGTGGCTGTTTTGCCTGTTAGTTGTTGTAGATTCTTCATTATGTTGATGCTCTTTAGCATTCAGTGTGATTTTGGAATGGCTGGTACTGGTTGATCCTTTCTATGTGTAGTGCCTCTTTTAGGAGCTCTTGTAAAGCAGGCCTGGTGGTGACAAAATCTCTGAGCACTTGCTTGTTTGCAAAGGATTTTATTTTTCCTTCACTTCTGAAGCTCAGTTTGGCTGGATATGATATTCTGGGTTGAAAGTTCTTTTCTTTAAGAATGTTGAATATTGGCCCCCACTCTCTTCTGGCTTGTAGTGTTTTTGCCGAGAGATCTTCTGTGAGTCTGATGGGCTTCCCTTTGTGGGTGACCTGACCTTTCTCTCTGGCTGCCCTTAGTATTCTCTCCTTTATTTCAACCCTATTGAATCTGACGAGTATGTGCCTTGGGGTTGCTCTTCTTTCGGAATATCTTTGTGGTGTTCTCTGAATTTCCTGCAACTGAGTGTTGGCCTGTCTTGCTAGGTGGGGGAAATTTTCCTGGATGATGCCCTGAAGAGTATTTTCCAGCTTGGATTCATTCTCTTCGTCCCCTTCTGGTACACCTATCAAACGCAGGTTAGGTCTTTTCACATAGTCCCACATTTCTTGGAGACTTTGTTCATTCCTTTTTGCGCTTTTTTCTCTAATCTTGGTTTCTTGTTTTATTTCATTGAGTTGGTCTTCGACTTCAGATATTCTTTCTTCTGCTTGGTCAATTCGGCTATTGAAACTTGTGCATGCTTCGCGAAGTTCTCGTACTGTGTTTTTCAGCTCCTTTAATTCATTCATATTCCTCTCTAAGTTATCCATTCTTGTTATCATTTCCTCGAATCTTTTTTCAAGTTCTTAGTTTCTTTGCATTGATTTAATACATGATCTTTTAGCTCACAAAAGTTTCTCATCATCCACCTTCTGAAGTCTAATTCCGTCATTTCGTCACAGTCATTCTCCGTCCAGCTTTGCTCCCTTGCTGGTGAGGAGTTTTGGTCCTTTCTAGGAGGCGAGGTGTTCTGGTTTCGGGTGTTTTCCTCCTTTTTGCGCTGGTTTCTTCCCATCTTTGTGGATTTGTCTGTTGGTCATCTGCGTAGTTGCTGACTTTTCGATTGGGTCTCTGAGTGGACACCCTGAATGTTGATGATGAAGTATTTCTGTTGCTTGGTTTTCCTTCTACCAGTCTAGCCCCTTCGCTGTACGACTGCTGAGGTCCGCTCCAGACCCTGCTTGTCTGGGGTGCACCTCTAGCAGCTGTGGCACAGCGAGGGATGCTACCAGTTTCTTTTTCTGCTATCTTTGTCCCAGGATGGTGCCTGCCTAATGTCAGTCTTTTGAATATAGAGGGGTCAGGGAGCTGCTTTAAGAGACAGTTTGTACTTTATAGGGGCTTAATTGCTGAGCTGTGAGCTCTGTTGTTCATTCAGGGCTGTTAGGCTGCTATGTTTGATTCTGCTTCAACAGAGCTCATTAAAAAAACCCTTTTTTTTCTCAAATGCTCTGTGTTGAGGGGTTTGGGCTTTATTTTTTGGATGTCCGTTGAGGTCCTGCCCAGCTAGGACGCAGACTAGCCACTGTTTGCCTGCCGAGGCTCCGCCCTGCTGTTGTGAGGCTCGCCCTGACTCTTCTGTTCTGCTGTTCTCCGCCACGCCCTGCGGCGGAGTCTCTCTGTTGTAGCAGGTTGCCTCGGCAACGGCAGGCTGCGTCAGCAGTGGGCGTGTATCTCAGTTGGGGCGGGTTGCCTCGGTAATGGTGGCCGCCCCGCCCCCTCAGAGCGTCTCGGGCCGTCTGCACGGGGCTTGTTTGAAATCGTGGTTTTGTTCGTCCCACTGGGCCAACACTAACGCTCTGTTCCTGCAATCCCCTGGGCTGGCCCACTGTCCAAGTCTAGCTCAGTCTCACGTCCAGCCCTCTCACGTCTCTGGTTGCCGGTTCAACGGGGCACCCGGACAAGCGCGCCCTGTGGGGAGCGCTGGGTAGGGCCGGCCGCCGCCACCCTGGCTGCCGGCTTCGCCAGGCGGAATATCTGCCTGGCGTCCGGCGTCTCCTCTTCACTTGGGAATTTTCCTGTTCCGTGGGCAACAAAGATCAGTCTGGAAATGCAGCTCAGACTCACCTCTCCGCAGACACAATGAGAACTCCAATCCTGGGTTGTTCATAAAGCTGGTTTTAAAAAAATGTTTCAGTAAGAATTGTATCTGTCTTATTCTCCAAAGGAAAACAGCTAAAAATGTTGACAGTTTAGGAGTTCCCTTTCAATGTGTCCTTTTTTGAATTCTGATGAAAATTGGTCAATGGTGAACTTTGAAGCAGGGTCAGTTAGGCAAAGAAACTCATCTCCAAACACAAATCAGTATGTCTTCAGATGATGAGATTGGTAAGAGACTACCATTACTTTATTAGCCTTTTCTGGTGAAGCAGCAATGACTTAATGACTGTGTAAGAATTTTTAAAAAGTAAACATTTTCTTCTTAATTCTGTTAAAGTCATAAATGCAACAGTAATTAAGTATTCATTCCATCATGAACTATAATTCCTTAACTTGGGGAAGAGCTGAGTTTATGAAACATTTTGTAAGCTTTTCCATCACAGATACCGAGGAATGTGTTACTAATTATGTTTTACCTTTTGGTTTTGCCACTATGAAATTTAAGAATCAGAGTTGCAGTCCCACTGTAGTAACCATGTGAGCACTTGAAACTTCCACATATATTTTAGTTTTTCCAAAATCTCAACGCTGCCATTAATTAATACTTTTGCTGATCCTGACTTTTATCTTTCAATTTACAATGTTTTATTTCATTTTTGTTTACTTAGGTTCAAATTTTTATGGAATATCCAAGATAAAAACAAAATAGAGTGCCTACGTATTTAAAAGATCTGACAACAATGGTTATATTATCCTGGTTCATGCTTCCTGTCACTCTATACTAAAAACATACAGTAAAAGTGTTTGAAAACTAGGAAAAGCTAGTAAGGATCCCATTCAAACACTTACCAGGAGTAATTGTCTCCAAGTACTTGCACAGTGATGGAGGGTGGAACCCGAAAATACCAAGTAAAATACTACATCATCTTCAACTTTGTCCTCTTCAGCAAGCAACACTGTAACAACACAATCGCCCTAGGAAAAAAACAACACAGCAAGTTTACATTAGTAAGGTTCCTCTTCACAGCCTTCATCAAATCCCATATTTAAGGGAAAGTCAAATATATCTAAACTATGCCCCCATTCTAGTAGGTTGAAACAAGTATAAACATTGAGCACTTATGTGCCAGGCAACCTTGTAGGCATTCGCAGTACAGAAAGAACCTGAAAATAAGATCGTTCTCTCGTCTTTAAACTTACATTTTAGTGGAGGTGATTACACAAATAAGTTAACCAACAAGATGAAGGTAAAATTTACTTGATGAGTGTGTTAAAAAGGGGAGAGGGCAGGGGGAAACACAGAAAAAAATCCAAAAATAAGGCAGAGAGAATGGAGGGGATGTAATAAATAGACACATCCTCATACTCACAATGTTCCTTAACTGCTGTGTTACAGTTGACAATATCTCTCTACATTCTACACCTCATAAATCATTACCAAGTCCATATATTCTCCAGCAAAGGTGGAGAGACTCTAATAGGCTTTTCTGGAAATGGCAGAGTGCAAAGAGGATGAGCTTGGGCCCCAGCCTAGGTGCATAGCAGGCTACAAGATCTAGGTTTGTGAAAGTATATGCTATGTTTGCCCAATGAACAAAATCACCTAATGCCACATTTCTCACAACAAAGCCCCATAATTTAAACAACACATGACTGTATATAGGAAAACTCCTGGAACATATGTTGTTCAACTCTCAGCCTGTGATTTTTTTTTTTTGAGATGGAGTCTCGCACTATCACCCAGGCTGTAGTGCAGTGATGCAATCTCAGCTCGCTGCAATCTCTGCCTCCTGGGTTCAAGTAATTCTCCTGCCTCAGCCTCCTGAGTAGCTGGGACTACAGACACATGCCACCATGCCCAGCTAATTTTTTTGTATTTTTAGTAGAGAGGGGGTTTCACCATGTTGGCCAGGATGGTTTTGATCTCCTGACCTCGTGATCCACCCGCCTCAGCCTCACAACATGCTGGGATTACAGGCGTGAGCCACCGCATCCGGCCTGCCAATGATATTTTTAACCTATTACAGCAGGAGGCTGCTTTTCTAATAATTTATATTTTCTAACCATCTGGCATCCCTATTCTTCTTTATCCACCCCTATATCAATCCTACAAAATCCGACAAAAATCTTGGGCTAATAACTCTGTCTATGACTTTCCAACTATCAGAAGGTAAGACATCTTTGTCTTTTATTTATTTATTTATTGACAGAATTTCCCTCTTATCACCCAGGTTGGAGTGCAGGGGTTGAATCTCGGCTCACTGCAACCTCCGACTGCTGAGTTCAAGCAATTCTGGTGTCTCAGCCTCCCAAGTAGCCGGGATTACTGGCATCTACCACCATGCCCAGCCAAATTTTTTTGTATTTTTAATAGAGACAGGCTTTCATCATGTTGGCCAGGTTTGTCGTGAACTCCTGACCTCAGGTGATCCGTCCACCTCAGTCTCCCAAAGTGCTAGGATTACAGGAGTTAGCCACTGCACCCGGCCGCAAATATTCTTAGGTAGTTTTTATACTTTTTTTTCTTCTTAAATCAAGGCCAGTGGCTAAATATATTCTGTGAAATACAGTCCTAATTATTAGCATTCTCCCAATTACAAAGTATATAATTCCTGTTGTAACCATAACAAAAGATTGTAAAGCATCAAGGTTTAAAGCACTGAGATTTAATACTATATAAATCTTAATAATGCACTATAGAAAAATCAATTTAGAGAAGGCCGGACCATTTCAGCATCATAATTAGGGGAGTAAATTCTCATTACATATAGAATATTTTTCCTTTCAATTTTATCAACAATTACAGCCAACAAGAGAACCATACCACCCTGTGGTCACAATTTACTATGCCCAGCAGCATAATTGAGCAGAAAGTACTTTTTTATTAAACACTAAAGCAAAAATCATTAATTAAAACCTAGGAACCAGGTCTATTAACAAAAAAATGCTCCAGTGGGTCCATGACTACTAATATGACATCACAGTGGAGCATTCAAAAGTATCCTAATCCAAGGAACATCACAGCTGGTAAAACCGAATTATCACTGATTTCAGTTACTACTAAGAATTATACTTTTGTCTTGTTCATAAGACTCTTTCTTGGAAACATTTTCAAAAAGCTTAGCCTGGTAAATGTGTAATCTCCTTTGGCATGATGCAACCAGTTAAAAAGATGTTTACAGCATGTATGGGAAGAGTGCATTTCTCAAGGTACTGAAACACCCTCATAACCTGAAAAAAGGACAAATGAAAAGTTCCATCCTTTGCAGCACAGATTGGCAAACTATAACCCACAAGTCAATTCCAATCTCCCACCATTGCCTGGAGTAGGGGTGGGAGTAGGGGTTAGGGCTAGGGGCAAAAGAAGGCCTTTTAATCCTTTTGATGTGAAAATTACATAAAATTCAAATTTCACTGTCAATAAATAAAGGTTTTCTTGGAATTCAGCCCATTCATCTACCCACTGTCCATGGACAGTTTGGCACTATAATGGGCCATAGAAGGTAATGATTACATGAGAACATAGCCCACACCCTAAATTAATTACTATCTGGACCTTTTCAGAAAAAAATCACTTTGATTTCTAACCTGGAATTCTAAGAATATATCTTCCTTTGCAAGATCAATAATTTCATCCTCACGTAGGGCCCAACATTTTACTGGGAGACTCTCTGTGACCCAAGATACTAGTGGTATCTGGGGCCTTCCTTTGACTGGAGACAGAAGAGATGGCTAACATAGGCAGACGAATCCTTCTGGCAATACTTTCAACATGAACCTCTTTTTACAAGTCAGTCAGTTTTAAACTGCTTTCATACCTTTAATAGCGGGGGTTTTCTGTTGCTGTTGTTTGAGACAGGGTCTCACTTACTCGCCCAGGCTGGAGCGCAGTGGTACAATCAGGACTCACCACAGCCTCCAGTTCCAGGACTCAAGTGATCCTTCCCACTCTGCCTCCCAAGTATCTGGGACCACAGGCATGTGCCACCACCTCTGGCTACTTTTTAAAATTTTCTGTAGAGATTAGGTATCCTTATGTTGCCCAGGCTGGTATCAAACTCCTGAACTCAAGCAAATCCTCCAGCCTCGGCCTCTGAAAAATGTTGAGATTACAGGTATGAGCCACTGCACCCAGCCTGTAGTGTTTTTGTTGTTGTTGTTTTGTAATATTAAGTCACACTACCTTATGCCCAAAATATTCAATAGAAGAGAACACAGAAGCTCCATTCATTTAAAAGCCTCTTGAAAATTAGATTCCAAAGGCACCTGAAATGGAAAATACCTATTTTTCTTGAAGGAGTAGTCTCTGCACACTGATAAAGTTACTGAGCGCAAATAACAAACTGCATTTCAGCCACCCGACTCCCATTTACTCCAGCAGAACCACGTACCTAGTATTACTTGAGATGGTTTTGAAAGATAAAATGGGTAGAATGGTGATTTTAAAAACAAGGAAAAATAGATCTAGGTAACCATTTTTGTTGAGATGCTTTAATCCTACCATCCTTGAAGAATACCCTGATAATTAATAAATTACTCTGCTGTGCCTGGGAAAGACCAGCCTACAGAATAAAGAGATCCATCCGTCTGGCTACACAGTGAGCAAGTCTGCTGTTTCTAACTAAAATAAAATAGATCAACTTTTTAACAATTTTCAAGACAGTCTCAATTATCATTTTAGTTTGACCCAACCTCAGGAAGAGCACACATCACCACTCTCTTCCAATAATCTGAACTTCAGAAATAGCGTGATCCCCTTACACAGATGTTTTCCATGTGTCTTCATTAGTGAGAAATGTATCCCTCAAACTGACAATTTTTTCAGGGTCTTATTTAGTTTTGTTGACAGATGACACAAAAACTAATGGAAAAAAATATGTATACTAAGCCTTACTCTAAATATAGGTTAACCGCCCCCCCATATAAATAAACTGTGATCTAAAATATCACCTATCAATCACTTATTTGCAAATAAAAACAGGTTTTTATAAAAGAGTTACCTTAAAATGGGATTTTAAATGGTAGCCATGGTCTCACTTTACCCCATCCTCAAGTAATTCTCAGTGTAGCTACATACTATAATAATGGCATTGTAACTTTCTGCACGTGACTTCCTTTATATATTAAGTTAAAAAATGTTTTTACACTTAGAATTTCTATCCCGGAATTCTAAGAATATTTTCCTTTTTTAGACCAAAGATGTCCTCTCTTCAAGAGACCCAACAGCTTGCTGAGAGACTCTCCGTGTCCCAAGATACTTGTGGTCTGAGGCTTTCCTTTAACTGGGAAACGTAGCTTGATTTAAAAAAAAAAACGACTGGGAAAGGCATCTGGGGGATGGGAAGAGACAAATTACAGTGCAGGGATGAATGGTAACCAAAGGGCTTTGGATAGGGTGGATGGTAGATATGGATTAGGAGAATGAGATAGGAAGCCCTATAGGAGGAAGTATGAAAGATAGGATAGCACCAATGTCATATTAGGTAGTAAGAAAGTGTCAGCCATTTGATTTTCAAAGGTGGGCAGTCAGCAGCAAAGAAATCACAGTGGTATGCTGGAGCTGGCTTGTGTAGGCTCATGAGTGCTCACTGTTAAGTTTTCAGGAATTCTGCAAGACAGCTGTTAAACAGCCATTATTAAAAATTACATGATAAAGCTTATAACTAAATAAACTGCATTAAAAACAAATGTAATAATACTCAAAACTCATCATTTTTTAAGTTATTTACCACAACATACTATCCTCTATGCTCTGGAGGTTTATATCTATTGTATCTAGACCGCCCACATAATGGTGAGCTACTGCATGTCTTCTCAACTCACATCTCTTGCCAAATCCTCATTCAGTAATGTGGCCTTGACAGCCTGAAAACCATTATGGGAGTATTTACACCACAAAAATTGGCAAATGCTACACATCAGGGCTTTCTTTCTTTCTTTCTTTTTAACCAGCACACCACTGAGAATAGGTCAGC